CAGCTGGGGCTACACAGAAACCTTGTCTCAAAAAGACCAAAAAATAATAATAATAAATAAATAATAAATAAATAAATAAATAAAACTACTGAGTCAGGTACAGTGCTACGCTCTTGCAGTCCCAGCTATTTGGAAGCCTGAAGTAAGAGAATTGTCTGTGCACAGGAGTTCACAATCAGCCTGGGCAACCAAGTCAAGTCTCCTCTCAATAAACCACATAACAAATCTACTCAGAGAAAACAAGTAGTTGCACTTATGTCCAAAGGTTTAGAATGAACAAACTTTTGTTATCAAATTTGTTAAAACTTCAAGACAAACTCATTTAAATAGAAAACTATTAGTTATTACCTTTTTAGCTTGGTAATTCCCCTCTAACAAAGATATCTATGAACTACCATAGGACATTAAACAATATAAAATGCACCCGGCCACCTGGAAGATCATAAATATTCTGTCATATAAATATAAAACATTGAAAGAAGCATACTGTCTCTTTTTAAGTATGAAAAGGAAATACAAAATATGTTGTCATCAGCCAGAGAGAAAATGTACTAAATGAACTATTCTTTACATTCTACAGGGTAAAATTCAGAAGAGCAATCTTGATAAAGATCAACAAACTTGAAATAATACATCTGGGACATCTACTCCTTATATCTTTAATGAAGAATCTTTCTGCTTATTCTATACATTCTGCTTAATCTTACTGTCAGTTTTATACAACCCTCTCCCAGGCATTAACTTTTGCCCTTTTATTCTTTTTTTTTTTTTTTTTTTTTTTTTTTTTTTTTTTTTTTGAAAATGCTTCCATGTATGTAAATAAACCCATGTTCTGCAATGCCCAAGGAGTTCAGAAGAGGGCATCGGGTTCCCTGGAACTGGAGTTACAGACGATTGTTAGTCACCATGTGGGTGCTAGAAATCAAACCCGGGTCCTCTGGAAGAATAGTGGGGCTTTTAACTACTGAGTCATCTCTCCAGCACCCTCCTTTTATTCTTAATTTAACTTACAGGGGCAAAAAAGCAGCAACTATGTATCAATGTCTATCTTTCGAAACTTTTCTCCTCACTTGCCATATGGCTTCTGCCTCCACATAATAACTCAAACTGCAATATCCAAGCACCAAAAGCCCACATACTGCCAACTCAAAGGATGTTCTTAGATTTTTTTTATATTTGACACCACTATTTCACAAGATACTCTTGACTGGCCTCTCCTTGAATTTCTTTTCTCCGGACTTCAGATCCAGAGTTCTCCTTCTGCCCTATTATACTTCTCAAATCATTTTTTTTCAGCTTCATTTGCCAAATCCTTAAAGGGTAGACTGTCTTTTTACTTCATCATCTTTCCATAAACAATCTCATTCACTCCTCCTTTTCCAATTATATTTAGATGATTCCCAATCTTTACCTCCACCTTGGAGTTTCAAAATTCCACTTATTACTTTTGCTATTATTATTGTTATTATTATGATGTAGTGCTAGAGATCGAACTCATGCTAAATAAGACAAGCAATATACCACTTAGCTACATGCCCAGTCAAGGCTCATTCATTCTACTCAAATACTTTCAAAATTTACTCATTTCCTACCTCGACTGCCTTAGATTGGATTACCTCATTGTCTCTTCAGTGGATTACAACAGTGATCCTACATGCTCTTATGGTTTCAATCTTACATCCAGTCATCTCTAATTTTGCCCACATGAAATTTCCAATAGTTTGATTACAGACACTCTATATGAAAACAACATGTAGAATAGAGAAGTTTACATGTAACAAATCCCTAGGCACACACACAATTGTAAATCTAATGAGAGTAACAAGTCACAAAAAAGAAAAGGGGAAACTACTACAGATTGGGAACTCATTATTTTGAGAAATTAAGTGATACTCGAAGTAGAAGATGCTTAATAAAAACAAAGTTTGGAGGTGGGAAAAGTATGTTTAAGATATCTGAAAGGGGGGCTGGAGAGATGGCTCAGCAGTTAAGAGCACTGACTGCTCTTGCAGAGGAGCCGGGTTCGATTCCCAGCACCCACATGGCGGCTAAGAACCGTCCTTAACTCCAGCTCCAGGGGAATCCAAAGCCCTCTTCTGACCTCTGTGTCATTGCACGACACGGGTGCACTCACACATGTGCAGGCAATACACTCACACACATTAAAAAATAATAACGATAAATAAAATATTTTTTAAAAAAGGTATCTGAAAGGAAAGGAGCTCAGTGTTAGCAGAATGGAAAATAGACTACTTGGCAGGAACGTAGTGAGAAAAGAGTAGCTAAAAAGGAGACTAGAGAAATACAAGCCAGCTCATATCTGGCTTCTAAAGACAAGGATAGATTTAGTAGTTTTGAAGGGCTAAAGTAAGCAATTAGAAACTTAGATAAGGGTACATAAACATTTTCAAAGGAAGGATGACTCTGTCTACTAGTAGAGAATAGGTGGTGGCTTGAGTGGCTAAGAGAAGGCCAGTTAAGAAGTTATTACATTAGTCTAGGAGAGGTAGAATGATGGCAGGCAGTCTTTCTCCACTTTCATAGTACAAGTTATCATCAGGTAACTAAGACTCATTGTTACAGGTAAGCCTATGTGAAGTGCCTAGGTTATTTCCCATCATCACGATGTTTCTGCTCAGGTCTTATCAAAAACTACATTTACAATAGTCTATTATAACACAGCTTCTGCCAAACACAATATTTGACCTCATGCAACCTCTCCACTTTTATGACTGAATGACAAATTATACATTACATGGTCCCCCAAACAAAGAACCTCCTATTTCTACCTGCAGGCTGGTCAACCCTACCAAACAGCATCTCCCATTCACCTAGTCACTGAGGCCAAAACTTTGGGAGTTAAACTTACTTGACTGTTCTCTTTTCTTGCACCCCATATCACATATAAGTGAAGCACCAACTGAATATAGTATTTAGCATAAATCTAAGGAAATTATTCTATGTAGGTAAATAGAATATGAATTTGGTTACAGTCTAATACAATACAATGCTACAATTGTATTCCACTTTATTATTCTGTTAATACTTCTATAATAAATATATAAAAATAAAACATGCTTAATTTTATATTTTTCAAATTCATTTTTTTCTTTTCCTTTTTTATTTTCTCATTTTGTTCTTTGTTTTTTAAAGATAGGCTCTCATTCTGTAACTCATGGCAATCCTCCTGCATCAGACTCGAGTGCTGGGATTAGAAGCAAAAGTCACCGTGCCTGGTTTTCTTTGTTTTTCAAGAACAGAAAACAAACAAACAAAACAACAAAAAAATCCCCCCAAAACCCTATAATACATATTTACAAAAAGTTATTTAAGATGAGAAGTCAGAAGTTTCTAATTTGTTTTAAAATCAGTTTCTGAACATTTCTCTAAGAAAACAGTTAAAATTAGATCTATTTCATACCAAACAGTTACTAGAGAAATATTTTCATTTCCCCTTATAGTTACGAACTGAATTATTCCATGTACATCAACTTTCAGCCAACCAAATCTTACAGATTTTACTCTACTTAAAAAAAATTGTAAAACCTACAAAGTACACCTGCCTTTTTCAATAGAGATAAGTGAAACTAGGCCAGAGAGATTGCTCAGCAGATAAAGGTGCTTGTCATCAAGCCTAATAGGTCAACCCCTGGAACCCATGTGGTAGAAGGAAAGAACTAACTCCACAAGCTATCCTCTGATCACCACACAAGCACTCACCATAGCATTGCTTCCTGCCTCCCACATACACATGCATACCACACACAGAGAAATAAATAAGTAAATAAATATTGAAATATTTTAAGTTACTCTTGATGGCTTAATACCACTAACATTATTATATATTATGTCACAAAATGCTTAGAATACTTTAGAGAATTCTGAGTTGAGATAATAAGCCATTGCCTTAATTCTAAACAAGGTACTATAGTTTCTTACAGTCTTCCTTTCTTCACGCTTCTTTTCATGTACCCCTTTTTGTTAGAATGTCTTCCTATACCAATCTCTCTCTGTGCTGCACTGGACCTGCTAGTACTTATCGATTGATAAGAAATCTATGTATCTCATCTGGTTCTCCATTTTTTAAAATTATTTTTAAGTGTATGCGTGTATTGCCTGGGTGCAGGTAAATGCATCCATGTCATGCAATGCTGGCGGAGGACAGAAGTGTGCACTGCAATTACAGACAGTTGTTAGCTGGCATGTGGGTGCTGGGATTCGAACCTGGGTATTCTGCAAGAACCACCAGTGTTCTTAACTGATGAGCCATGTCTCCAGCCCCATCATCTGGTTCTCTTTAAGGCTTTAAGTTTGATTCTATACCTTTTCTCCTTCAAAGTACAACTGGAAGTAGAGGATGTTTTCCCTGCTGACTTTAAGTTTATCCCTGGATTCATAAGTACAGTGCTTCTAGTTCAAGGTATCAAAGCTGGAAGGGGTGGCAGTCTGGCTGTAATCCTAGCACTCAGGAGGGAGGCTAAGGCAAGACCACTGGGAATTCAAGCCCAGCCTGGGCCTCATAGACTGTGTCTCAAAAAATCAAAACAAAAAATACCAAGATCTTGAGTTTCACCATCATGTAAATCTGACACAAACCCAAGTGTCATTATCATGACAACCTAATAATACGGAATATTACTATGTTCAAATGGCTTCTAAATAGGCAGTATGCTAACCTTATACCCACAGTTCTATACAATTTATGATATATATCTAAAATAAAAATAGTTATAACATAGGCATTACAAATTGTTATAGGGTGAGACTTCAAAGTTGTTATAAAAGGTCAAAGGCAGAACTTAGCTTATAAAGAACATAATTTATATAGGCCAAAAGGGCCCTTTCTGAACAATACCATATAGGATAATTTAGTTCACAAAATACTGACTGTAAGACCATAATCAAAATGAAATGCTATGAAAAAGTGAGAAAGAACTTTGGTTATGCATTGCAATAAAACTATGGATGAATGGGCATAGCGCATCTCCTGTTGCACGCACCCTGTTGCTCATCAAGTGACATGGATCCGAGCTGTTTGTTAACCACAGAAGAAGGAGAATCTGAAACAAAAATGAGATTTCAACTTAAAAGCAAGCAGCAGAAAACTGCACAGCAATGTCATGATAATCTCTAAGCTTAAGAAACAAATGTACGGGGTGGGGAACAAAAATAAGTACTGTGGTATTATTTTCCAAGCAGTGAGTAAGCAGGGGCATGTGCTTAAGATGTTATTCCAGGCAAGCATTTAGCAACTTTGAGAATGAGTTGAGAAAATAATTCTTCTATCTCCATGCACATACCTTTAATCACATTCATTTAGTACAGACACAAGGGGCAAGATAGGTGTAGCAGAAATAGAGTATCTCCACAAAGAGAAGACACCTAGCCCTTCTTAAACTCCCTCACCAGCTCTTAAGATGGCTTCCATCCTGCCTTGGGGGATTCAAAGCATGAAATGAGATGCTCACTAGACTTTGTGAGATGCTGTTTGCTGTACCATGAGCTAAATAAGGAGTCAGGATGTTCAACAACAACAACAACAACAACAAAAAAAAAAAAAAGGTTTGTAGGGAAAATATTTAATGAATTAATTACCTTTAAAGAAACATGTACCTTTAAAAACTCTATAGTATACTGTGCATAATGAAACTAGACTCTGTGAAAGCTTAGGTTTCTGTATACAGGTACCTGGTAGAAAAAGAGGCAAGAAGAAAGCTTAATGTTTGGGCTTTCCATTCTGGCTTCCAACAGTACACACCTTTATTCTGAGCTGTTGGGTACACTGGGTCTTTGTGTGAGAGTTTATTTTATTAATGGGCTCTAACATTTGAAAAACACTGGTATAAAGGACAATAGCATATTAAAATGGAAAGAGCACTTGTCTGGTGTTAGTAACTCTTGATTTGATAATCAGCAACATTTTTAGCTTCTCCTTTCTCCCTGATAAACTTAAGGATCAAGTAACTAACCCAAGTGCTGGGACATGCAGGCTAAAAATCCCTTATCTGAAAATGTTCCAAAACCCAAAACTTTTCTTAGTGCTGTTATGACACAAGTGGAAATTCTGACCTTATGTGATAGATCACATCAGAGTACAGGTACACTAAAACAACCAGATAAAATTACCTTTGATGTTTCTATATTATATAGAAAGCAAAATGAATTTCCTATTTAGACTTAAGTACCATTCCTAAGACATTTTAGTAGCTATATGTAAATATTAAAAAAAAAACAAATAAATCTGAAATACTTCTGGTCCACAAGCATTGTGGATAAAGGATAGCCAACCCATAGATGCTCCAGTGTCCCAGGGAAGCTACAGTACAAGGGGAAAACATAGGTAACAAATACAGTTCTATATCAAATGTAAAAACTATTCCTAATTCCTAATATCCTTTGCTCTAGTTCTTAGTGTATGTTGTTGTTAGTAAGACACTTTGCTAATCACTAGCTACACCCATAGGACATTTCGTTTCTCCTAAGTAGGTGTGTCAAGATTATCCTTAACTGAATAGCTAAGGGAAATTTTTCAATATATACTGACTGGATCCACATCAATTTTATATCATTTGATATAATATTGTTTTTACTTGTACATGTAGAAGTCTGACACCTGCTACCAGAATCTTCCACCTTCTAATATCATACCTGTCTACTCACAGGTGTTGATAAACCATGATCAGTATTCTAAAAGCTGAAGCTTTTATTTTATTCTTTTTTTCTTTTTCTTTTTTTTTTTTTTTTTTTTTTTTTCTCACAGTAGCTCAGAGAGGGTCTCCTTGTAGTCCCAGCTGGCCTGGAACTCACTAGAGACCAGGCTGGTCTTGAACTCTCAGAGATCCACCTGCCTCTGCTGGAATTAAAGGTGTGCGCCACCACACCCAGCTTTATTTTATTCTGACACAGCACCTCTTCATCAGAGCGTTAAATCTTTACTACACAAGAAAGTGAGAAGGATAGTGTTTTAATCAAATGTCCATCTCCATCCCTGTCTCCTTCCCTCCTCTCCACCCCTAGTGCCATTTCCAGCAGTCTTTCCTTTCCTTCCACTATGTGGGTCCTGAGGCTAGAACTCAGAGATCAGGCTTGGCAGCAAGCACTTTTACCTGTTGAACCATTTCCCTGACTCATTACTTTCTTTTTTAAAATGAGTTCTTACCCATTTCAGATCTAACATTGCCAACTGTGTCATTTTGAAGAGCATGCAATTATATTTTCCAAAGTGGGGAGCAGAAAGCCTTCTTAAAATTATAAAACATAGTTCATCCCTTTGGATCCATTATACACTTCATTGTGCTCTCCTATAATAATTAAGAATCTTAAGACAACTATAAAGTCTCCAAAATTTTATCTACAAATGCTATGAAATGCATAAATCTTCTTGAAATAAAATTAATGAAAATCTTGAATGTCATAAACTCCATAAAACTGTGTTTTCAATCTCAAAGCATTCAAAATACTGACACAGTAAGACTTATTAAAAAAAAAAAAACCAACTACACTATTAACTAAAGGTATCTCTTTTTATCGTTTTAGTTTGTCACAACTTTGTATTTCTAAGAAATTATTTGTTCTTATGTCTTTAAAAAATTTAAGTTACATTTTTATTTATTTATTTTGTGTATATTTATACACCATGGTGGGTATGTAGAAGTCAGAGAGACAGCCTGTGGGAGTCAGTACTGTCCTTCCATCACATAGATCCCAAGGATCAAATGTGGGTCATTAGACTTAGGTGACAGGGCCTGTACCCACTGAGCCATCTCACCAGCTCAGCCCCAACATCTTTTAAAGGCTAAAAATATTCAGGAAGAAATGCATTTTGTCATTGCATTTACTTTTTATAATCTTAAGCACACACAACTGCTTTTAGAAGGATTATTTTCCTAACATAAACACGTTTATGTGACATGCTTTTGTAACACTGTTTATAAATAAAATGCCTATAACCCCTATAACAGAAATACATCCAAATGTTAACACAATAACCATCAAAATAGCAAATATTAAAAAATGTACAAACTTTTTTTTTAAGGTGGGAAGGTTTTATTTTGGCTCACAGTTTTGAGGGTCATGGCAGGGAAGGTACGGTGGCAGAAGATTAAAGCAGCTGATTACACTGTGTCCACAATCAGGAAAAAAAATGTACAAACTTAAACTGACTGCTACAACTGTTTGCATATTCTACCCCTTATCTATGTAAAGTATTTCAGAAAGCATCACAGAATAAAAACCATAATATATTGTCCATCACTAAAAGCAGTATGGTTAGTTGATATATTTGAAGTGTTTAAAAGTAGTTATTATAAATGTAAAGCAATAAATGATTTAGTACTAAAGTCAATGTATGTCATGGTCAATTACTGTATATTTCTGAAAATTTTGCAGTCTGGTATTGAGAAAATCCTTTAGTACCCCCACACCAGAATTTTTTCAACTGCAGAAAAACAGAAAATTATAGCCTAACATGTAACAAAAATTCTTCAGCCATACGTCTTGAGTTTGAATAGCTTTTCACTCAGTAATATATTAACTGTGAACAAGTCATTTAAATTGTCTAAGTCGTACTACGTACATCTATAAAATGGGGCCACACACTATGTGAGGATAATCCATGTTAGTAGTATGTTTCTGTTTCTTTTTTTTTTGAGCTATGGAACTGAGTCAAAAAGAATGAGACAAAAATGTTCTTAAAACTATGGAAAATTCATAGCCTTATGAATGTTACAATAAATAGGCTGGCAGAACATATTCAGTTATGGTGTATGTTGACTAGCTATTTCAAAGTACATCAAAAACTGGCCTCTTCACCAAGTATGGTGGTACATGCCTTTAATCCCAGCACTGAGAGGCAAAGACAGGCAGATCCCAATAAGACTGAGGTCAGCCTTGTCTACACAGTGAGTTCTAGGCTGGCTAGGGCTACAGAGAGACCCTGTCTCAAAACAAAGACCCCCCAAAAATTGGTCTCTTTTTCCTTTATTAGAAATTTCAAGGTATAAAATTTTAGGGGATATTATGGCATGCCCAAAATCTCATAGATATGTTACTGATGTTTTTGCTGAATATGATTCATCCTTTGTCATCAAACACGTCTTACAAACCAATCTAGCAAACATTTTCTTCCTTATTCACAAGGTCTAGTTAGCATAGTATAATGACAATAATGAGTTAACATAATTTTTCATTTAATATTAATAGCCTCAATTCTGAAAATATGTGAGGGGGCATCAAGAAAAATGTAGCAGAATGGTTTACTGTGTAACTAAACCAAATTATATAGCTAATAAAGAATGAACCAAATTTTTTTTTCAAAAAAAAAACATGTTATATATAATCATCTAATTATCATATAAAATTCTAAGAGATTCACCAGTAGTTTTCCTTAGGACTCTGCCAGTCAAGGTAATTAACAAATGCTTCCAAAATTAGACCATTATTATGCCTGATTTATTAACTACTTATATATGCTAAAAGATAGATCAAACACATCCATTTGAGAAGTGCTACAAGACTGTCACTATGAGAACTATGGAAGCTGATGGTATACAGAGCCTGCCTGCCCAAGATAGGTTAAGTGCTGATTTTCTCCAATATGGCTCAGTTTTGAAAAGCCCTTTTCAAAAATAATCACCAATGTTTTATACCCTAACTGGGTATAAAAATTACTTTTTAATTGTTTTTCCAATTGGCAAAACCGTGCCATAAAGTGAAAAAACAGTTCCTACCTGACCCTTTCTAGGCTGGCTCCATGCTCCAGTGGGGCTCTGTGGTGGTTGGGCCAGTACCAGCAGAATCCACAGGGTGTTGACACTCTGAGCAGGAGCCAGCAACCCATGACTTCAGGGCATCTGAAATGGAAAAGAAAGACTTGGGCTTTAAAACAGCCATATGCTAAGTGCCTCTGCCATAGCTATCTAGGACTCATCTGATAAATCTACAAATAGCTCACTCTGAATCCTCAATGCTATCGACCTTAAATGGTCTGGGCAGGACATTTTGAAGTAGTAAGTGAAAGATAAGTAAGATGATGCTCTCTCATAAGGAGAAACTGTACCTA